TCTCCACATTCCAGGAACTCTCTGGCCATCGCTGCCTCCATGGCCCTGGCGACCAGAAGTCGTTGTTGGTCCAAGTACTTTGAGGCGAGACGACAGATGGCGCTGCGTGAACGTGTCCTCAAATCCTGGCCATATGCTTGCTCTGAGCACGGGTTAGACATTAAAATAGACTGCACTTCACATAGCCATGCACTTCTTTTGCCGCATCGTAGTTACGCATCTTTTCTCTTGCGTTTCAGGGCGATTCTGGTGCTCCTCTGATGCTGAAAGAGGGCGACGCCTTTCAAATGGCGGGGCTCGTCTCTTTTGGAAACGGCTGCAACATGGACGGCGTGCCGGGGGTCTACACAAACATTGTTAACTACCGCGATTGGATTGACCTGGCGATCTCCCCGTATAGCTTGAGCAAATATGACCAAATCTGAAAAATAAAGCCACACTTTCCCACTCTCAGCCCGCTAAGGGCCACTGAATTTGTGATAATTGTTAGGTTTTTATGGCACAATACAACGATGTGATCATGAGGGAAGCTGCTGTGGAGGGCTCCGGAAGTTCGAACTATATAACGTTTTTTAACATGCACCTAATTCTAAGTACATGAGCCTCTAGCTTATCACCCCCCCCCCCCCCCGAAATGTGGCTGCCACACCTGGGAATCGATCCCGCGACTTGCGGTTCAGCTATCAAGCACCACAATCGCTAGACCACGGCGACAGACGGACCCCTGGTTACAAGCGATGGCTTTTTCAAACGGTCGCCAATAGTCAGCTAGACTGGGGCCATCACCTCGAAACATTGTCATTAGCAGTGGCAGCCGTTCTACGTGGCTAGCACAATCACATTCACCTCCTTTCTATAGAAGATCTTACGGAATATTACCGCTCTGATGACTGTGATGATTGCTCCGGCGGGTAGAACACAACTTGGGTGAGGGTGTTTTTTTTTTTTTTCGAATTCCGCCAATGGATTCAATGAAGTTCGCCATGGCATTCAAATATTTGAGAGAAAATCAGTGACACAAACGTGCGTCTTTGCATGCACATCAAATATCTTAAGCACGCGAAGAGTGCTTGCTCTCACGGAAATTAGTCAATCTGAGTGGATGAACAGACCCATGGAATTTTTTTCCGGGTAGGATAGTAGTGGCTGTCGGTGGAGAGAGACAGAGAGAAAACATTTATTGAGTAAAGCTTGTGAGTGAAGGTGGGAGGGTCTCAATTCCAGGAACTCTCTTGCCTGGACTGCCCACCGGGCTCGAGCAACGAGTTCACACTGGTCGACCAGGTCCGGCTGGGAGATTGCAGCCTCCCAGGCTTCACTGAGGAGATCTTGGTCTGCATCTGGTGCTGCGTCTTGTAGCCCTGGGACGCTTACTTTGCACTGCAGTAGGAGGTGCGCCAGAGTCTCTGCCACATAGCAGGGAGGACAGATGTAGCCATTCAACGTTGGCCTCATATGGTGCAATAGTACGCCGTGAGTGAACGTGCTGCTTTGAAGGCGCTTGTAGTCGGTGCTTTCGTCTCTTGTGAGATTTGGATGTGGCAGAGGGTGTGACCTGGGTTCGAGCCGATGATGTTGCAGTAATGCATCATACGTTAGCGGTAGGGATTTGACTGCTTTTGTTTCTGTTGTTAAGTGGGAGGTGCCGCGGATCTCGTACGGGGATGCCCGGTTAACGCATTCTCGGGCTGCAGTGTGCGCCGCTTCATTTCCTTCGAGACCTTCGTGACCCGGAGCCCACACGATGCGTGTGTAGGGAGGAGAATTGTCTATGCATTTTGGTAACTTCCTGCCTTTCAGATATAGTTACGTGCCGCTGTTTGTGAGTCGGTGAAGACCACGATGGGATCATCACTCGTCCGAGTGGCGAGTGCTATAGCAGCCTCTTCAGCTGTGTCCGCGCATCTGGCGAGGATAGTCGCCAATTCCAGTACCGTGCCCTTGTAATCTATGACGGTAGTCGCGAAGACATTACGTCCCAGATACTTGGCTGCGTCCACGAATCTCGCCTGCGGGTCATCGCGGTAGTTATTCTTAGTCATGTTAACCCTGGCGGGCCGTCTTGCTCGGGGATGTTGAGGATGCATGTTGCGAGGAATCTGCTCAACTTCAAGGCGCTTGTATACATGAGGAGCTTTTTTTTTCAAAATGGGCCAAATCTAAAACCGGTACTTGCTAAATATAAGGCTGTTTTGGCACATACATACTTTCAACTTTCCTCTAAAAGAGTAATAATAAATTACTCATTATTCTTAATAAATTATTATTAATGTGTTTAGGAAATGGTAGAGTATGTGTAGGCCAGTAGAGCCCTATGTGGGCTAGTTTCGGTTTTCCATTTGGCCCATTTTGAAAAAACTCTCCTCATGTATTATAGGCATCTATTATGCACCTTTTTCTCATCTGTGCGTTAATTGATTGATTTGTGGGGTTTAACGTCCGAAAACCACCATATGATGAGAGACGCCGTAGTGGAGGGCTCCGGAAATTTTGACCACCTGGGGTTCTTTAACGTGCACCCAAATCTGAGTACACGGGCCTACAACAATTCCGCCATCTGTGCGTTAATCAATCATCATCATGTGTTTATGATCATCATCATCGTATTCGGGTCAGCGCTTAATTCCGCGTCCGTGGTGCTTGTTCGCTCCCCAGTTCGTGGCTGAATAAAGGTCATTCCAACAGAGACATCTTAACATTCGAAATTATCTTGTAGCTGACTACTGTGCTCATGGACAGTTCACTTTCATCGCTATCGCTTGTTTACTTGCTTGCTTGCAAATGGCTGCTACCCCCTATGGGGTTTTGGCCAAGAGCGTTTCCACGCTCTAGTTGAGAAATGGAGGCAGTGACGACGAAGAAGAGCAAAGACCGCGTCCGATATGGGCGCGCGAAGCGGCAGACGCCCCTCAAACCAAGACTTCAAGCGGTGCACACCAATCGGGCGTTGTTGAGGCATGTGTCACCATGCGAGACAAGCGACGCCGGTCCTCCCTAGCGCAGCGCTCCGACAGGAGACGTTCCCGATCCGAGGAACGGTACGCGCCGCGCTCGTCCTCGGTGAGCTTCGAAGACACGCCATCGGAACGTCTGCGACACTCGTCCGGGGAGTCGACGCACGATGGCAGTAGCTCGTCCGCCGAGTACGAGATCGTGGAGGTGTACAACGACGATTCCGCGGGTGACGACAAGTGGGGCAATGACAAGGAGAAGACGGGCTCTGAAAGCGATACCTATCAGCAGAGCCAAGCTTACATGATCATAGCCGCTGTCATGGTGGCCAGCGCCTTCCTCGGCGTGCTCATGAAGTTCGCTTTCACACCGACCCACTCGGGACACTCCCACGGCCTCCGTAGGGTCCCCGGACGAGTGCTCGTCGAAGAGACCGACGCGACGACGCCTTTCGACAGCACCCTGACCACGACGAGGATCAACATCAGCGCCATCAAAGACCTTGCGACTGAACCGAAAAGCCCTATCGCTGCCGAGGTCACAGCGCCTGTACCTCGGAAGTCTGCTTTCACGTACGAGTGCCGCACGGACGCCTGCCTATGGCAGAGCCGGCTCATCTACGACAAGATCAACCAGTCGATTGGTCCGTGCGAGGACTTCTACGCGTACGTGTGTTCGAACCGGTGGTACAACAGTGAGCTCGAAGTTCAAAGCAGGCCTTACGTGGTCAGCGGGCCAGGGCTGCTCATACTGGACATTGCCAAGTTTCTGCTTCAGCCAAAAACGAGGGATCAGTCCTCAACATTCATCACACATTCTTCAATGTTCCTTAAAAGCTGCATTCAGGTGCGAAACTCGAGTAGTGACGAGAACGATTGGAAAGATATAAAGAAAGTACTCGAGTCGTACTCGCTCACTAAATGGCCCTTCATGACCGATCCGCCTACCGGCAAGTTTCAGGACGTGCTCAAGCTAGTTGACAAGAGGCTTAACCTGCTCGCCGTCGTTCACATAACCCTGCGTAAGCGTTTCGAAAACGAAGGCTACATGCTGCACCTAGACTCACCAAAGCTCACCATGGTTCGCCACCAGATGACCTTTCTTGACGAAGGATTCCAAGAGTACAAAAACTGCATCAAGCGCGCCTTCACGCTTCTTGGCAGCAAAGTCGAAACGGACCACATCGCCGACGATGTGCTCGAGTTCGAACGGAAACTCGACGAGGCGTCACTTCCTCCCAAGAGATTCGTGTCCATCCTCAATTCGACAGTGTCTATCGTGAACCTCAAGCGTGCCGGCAAGCTCGAGTGGGACGCTTACCTCACATACCTGCAACCTGGGTCCGAAAAGGTAATCGTCATCAACTCGGCCTTTATCAACAAGCTTTCCGGCATCCTGACATCTACAGCACTGTCGACGCTGCTGAACTACATCGGCTTCCGAATACTAGTACTGCTGTCGCCTCTGTTGCCCAAGCAAGCCGAGTTCCTGGTGCCACTCAGTTACGATGACCACATCCACAAGTACAACGCTCGTCTGCAGGCATGCATGCATCTCACGGAGCGCCTGTATCCTTACGGAATCCGCAAGATAGCCAGGGCCGCGATGGGAAAGACGACCATGGAACAGATCGCGTACGATCACAACCTCGACAAGATGGTCAGCAGCGTCAAGGGAGTGGTGTCCCAGACTGTGGCTCGTGCCCCGTGGCTGACACAGACAGAAGCTGACATGGCGACACAGAAGATTGAAAGTCTCGAAGTGGACTTCATAGGTGCCAAGGAACACATGGACGCTATCAACGCGTAAGTCTTTCTTCCTTGTTTGATTAGCCGGCACTCAATCAACGAAGTGTTTAAACGCAAAAATGCAGTCGGCACTGTGTTTTTAATACGCAAGAATTTTGACCACACATGTATCTCTCGCTTTGTGTATACGTCTCATTGGCAAAGTTGTGAGTTTTTCACGTGCCAACGACACTTTTACAGTCAGTATGTAATAACACGAAACTTGAAATCTCGGTAATCCATCAGTGAAAATCAAGACATTGAAAAACCAAACTTCACAATATGAGCAAAGCAAAATTAGACGGCTTTGAGCAAGCTTTCACTGAATGAAAGCGACAGCAGGGTATCACGTTATATGGCCTACAAAGAAGCACGTGCTGCAATAGAGCGCTATATATATATATATATATATATATATATATATATATATATATATATATATATATATATATATATATATATATATATATATATATATATATATAGAAAACGGGACAAAAGAACGACCAGCACGTCAGTTTTCTAAAAGCTGTCAAGAGTTTTGGGGAAAGCTGGAACACATATTGGCAAGGTTCACGGCCATAATCTCTGTTTACCTGAGGCTTCTCTATATACGCTCTATTTTTCAGGAGTGCCGAGAAATGTGACCAGCAAGCACACTCATCAAAAAAGTCACAGGGCCCCTCACACATTGGCCTAATATCACTTTTAGGCGAAAGCCGTGTTTTTATTTTCCTTGCAGCGAATGCGCTGACCCTCTCCTCCACCCCTTCTAATAGGCTTGTGCTCCTAACTTGGTTTTGTATATCCTCGCTGACCAGATATGTTTTTTATCGCTCTGCACTTCGCATCGTTTTGCACTATCTCTTGGTTGGGTCCTCCTCTGACCAAGTGACGATTTCATCGAATGGCGTCATCATGTGGTGTCGCGTTATGTGGAATCATCAGATTACGCACAGTTTTTGCGATGTCTGATGACACAATGAGGTCAAATGATGGCGTGATCACGTGATAATTTTTTGCATCACATCATTCACACGCCGACGTTCATTCCACCAGCGGGTCAACTTCCCCCTTTGAAGGGTACCTAAGGCTGTCGTGTTAAAGCGTGACCATATCTGTGCCGCCATGTCCCGAAGTGTTCTAGACATCGCGACACGGTTTTCGCAAGCGCACGTGCGCACTCGTGGGCGCAGGTACTACCAGAGCAGAGTCGAGGTCGCCTTCACCGTGGAATCGACGCTGCGCGACTACACGGCGCTGTTGAACGAGACCACGTCGCGTTACTGGCTCTCGAAGGACAACGCGGACTACGACGCGCGCTACCACGTGTCCTGTCTGATGCCTGGGCACGAGTACAACGCGGGCAAGAACGTCCTGCACGTGCCGTTCGGCGTGGTCGCCCTCCAACAGCGCGTGGCCCAGTCGGCGATACCGGCGATCCTGATACCGTACATCGTGCCCCACCTTGTGGAAGGCGCGTGTTGCTTGCTTCTTCAGTCAGAGATGCTATCTGATTTGATTGATTTGTGGGGTTTAACGTCCCGAAACCACCATATGATTATGAGAGCGCCGTAGTGGAGGGCTCCGGAAATTTTGACCACCTGGGGTTCTTTAACGTGCACCCAAATCTGAGTACACAGGCCTACAACATTTCCGCCTCCGTCGGAAATGCAGCCGCCACAGCCGGGATTTGATCCCGCGACCTGCGGGTCAGCAGCCGAGTACCTTAGCCACTAGACCACCGTGGCGGGGCAGATATGCTATCTGAAACACGGCGCTTGTACCCCCCCCCCCTATTCCAAGACGTTCCCCCACACGACACTCAACATCGTGGAGTCGTGATGATGATGAATGTCGTAACGTCATGATATCCTCTCATGCTGTATCATCGCAGTGGTATGACTGTCTATCATAATGGCCGATTCAGTAACATATACTATCAAAAAAAAAGAAAAACAGCATGAAGGGGAATATAGAAGCTTGCGATGAAAAAATATCAGTAAACAGGGGTTGCGTGATCGAGCCGCCATTTCGACACGTGAACTTGTCTTCTTCAAGGCTAGACTGGTCCACTTGTCGAAACTTCTGCTCGACCACACAAATCTGTTTACAGGCATTCTCACAACATAGAGTATGTGCGTCGTGTAGCCTGACAATTTGGCCTTGCGTGATGCACACCTTCGGTGCACCACTTCATTCTTATCTTCCTGTTTACTCGTGAAGCAGCCCACAGAGACAAGGCACAAAAGAAAGGAAAAGACAGACAACCGCTGAACTCGACACCAGTTGAGAGTTTATTTGCGCTGTTTCACAAGTAAGCATCACCAATTCGCACAACTATCAACGTTACTCATCTTGTGTTTCTGTGCCATACGGATTTCTGTGACGCGCGAACAGGCATGTACGAGGCGATCGATGTGCGCGGCTCGACCATAAACGTGCGCGGCATGCCCGAAACCTGGTGGAGCGGCGAGACGTTGGTGCGCTACCGGCAACTGCAGAAGTGCTTCACGCAGAACTACCTGGAGAGCATTCAGCGCTTCGGCACATTCCAGGCAAGTGGCGTAGGCGAGTCGGCAAAAGTTTCGACTTCGCCCTACGACATTTTAAGCGTATACTAAACACTCGTATTAAGTCCACGTTGATTGTTGAAATTGCGCTCCAAGGACATCGTGCTCGTTGCATGCCAAGGAAATGCTTAGTTTGGAAGGAAATCACATTCTTGTGGTCCGCGTATTGTTAATGCAATTCAAATCGTCCGTCTTAGAGAGTCACCTTGTGACGAAGTATACGCCATGCATGGCCGACAGCTGGCTCAACGAAGCACAGCCCAGCGAATACAGAACTCCTATCGTTCTCAAGGCTAATGTGAAGCTGTTTCTCTATTTGTCAAGCTGAAACGCACAAGTTGCATTTTATTCCGTCTCGTAATGTATTGCAATGTTATTTTCTGTCATGACTACTTCGAGTAACATTTATTCATTGCTTTGAGAACGTTCTACCTAATCCGGCTACTGTTCCAGAATGGTTCATTGGTGGTGCAAATCATGCTCTACGCTTATAACCAAATTTCTTCATTGTTAAAGCTCTTATACGCTCCTAATATTGTCGTTTTCGAGATCCTCAAGCATTCAGCTTTCGATCCGACATAAATTGTTATTCGCTTGTGGCGCCGCTTTAACTAAGGCATTCATACTTGGGAAGTAAAAACAGCGCAAAAATATAGACAAGGACAGAGGAAGAGACGACACAGCGCTGAACTCGAAACTAAACTTTATTGAAAGATACACGCACATATATCAAGCATTTGATCCGGTCACGTGGACAAGCAAAGGCGTCTGCGCATCAAAGCAAACAAGGTATGAAACAAGCCTAATCATATTGATAATCAACACGTGTGTAGCAACCACGAAAAAACACAAAAAAACGTACTTTTCTACTTGCCAAAAACTTAAGAAACGGTCACCAACAAACTAACAATCACTTTAACGTGGCAGCGCTGAACCCAGGTACCGAACTTCTTTTTCACCAAAGGCCACAGGCGGCTTGCTTATATGCGCGTGTATCTTTCAATAAAGTTTAGCTGACAGTTCATTGCGGTGTCGTCTCTTCCTCTGTCCTTGTCTATATTTTTGCGCTGTTTTTGCTTCCCAAGTATGAACCACCAACTAGCCCAACTTTTGCTATTATTTAGGCGTTCATCTGCATTATTACCAATGGCGCCAGCCACGCATCTTCTATATAACAGAGCAAAATGTTTTGTACCGCCATGGCCTCTGATGTCACCTAGCGATCTCTGCATCTCGGTACCCGCCTCTAAATGACAACATAACTTCGAACTTTGGCTTTATTAATGAGCTTATCATCATTTTCTAGCAACAGACATTTTAAAAGAAGATAGGCAAAGTAACGATCACTGCCGATACCACCACCGCTATCGTCAGTTATCGCGTATAGTGTGTCCCAAGGAGACTTCCTCGAAAGGGCGGAATCCTTAAGCGTACTCTTAAAGGCGGAGCGATTAACGTAACGCAAGTAAGGAATAAAGAGACACACGTACACATAGCAAGCGTTGCGGCACGAGTGCCTATCGCTCGGCGCATCTTTCTCTTTTAATTTTTGTGTTCCGCTGCGGTGTGTTAGCTAACATGACTCTTAATATAAACTGGAATGGCTAGCTCTGTTTTAGAAGTATGAGTAGAAAAACAGCGAAAACAAATCGACAGGAGATACGCTGAACTCAAAATAATTTGAAAGTTTAGGCTTTTTTTTTTTTTTAGCAATAGTATGGGTTCATATATGTGCGGCCGAACGAACACGGGTTATTACTGCGCAAGTCAGACATTGTTAACGATAAAGCTTTCTTATCAAAATCGAATATTTACCGCCATTCTAGCTATTTAAAAAGGCCATTTCTTAATCTGTCAGCGCTGCCGTCGCAACACTGATGCACGTGGCTGAGTATACGCATAATCCGTCCAGCTTCAGTAATCTCCCCTGGCCAGTATCTGTACACTCTAAAAAAATATCGAGTAAAAAGGGTGTCTTTTTGTCCCACAACAATAATCGTCATCAGGCTTGCGTGCGCTTCCTTTCTTGAAAACTCGGCGCTGGCCACTTTCCTATCGAGAATGCAATGTAACCCTGGTAATGGGCATGTCGATCGTGACCGGAGCGTACCGAGCGCGGGGCGATAGCGCAAAGATGGAACGCAAAGTAGATGACGATTATTGTTGTGGGACAAAAAGACACCCTTTTTACTCGCTCTTTTTTAGAGTGTAGTTGAAGTTAACTGCCACCGTAGTGTAACCAACTGTAACCGTCCTAGCGCAAACCAACTTACCGCCACAAAAAACGTGGTCCCACTTTTACTCCGTTTCCTGCGCGCGCAGGAGTCCCCGATGGCGCCGTTCCTGCGCAGCTTCATGGCCGAAATCGCGGCGCTCCAACCCTCGTTCGAGGCCTACATCCGCGCCCTCGTGGCGCCGCACTCGATGCAGCGAAACTTCCGGATCCCCGGACTGCCCGACCTGACGCCCGAGATGCTCTTCTTCGTCAACCTCGCCGCCTCCCACTGCGACCCAGTCAGCAGTCAGGGGCTGACGGCTCTGGACAAGCGCAGACTCCGGTATCGCGTCGCGTTGCCGTCCTCGCTGAGGGTGAACATCCCGCTGCGTCACTTCGACACGTTCGCCGAGACGTTCTCCTGCACCAGGGGCACTTACATGAATCCCGGCGCCAAGTGCAGGCTGTGGTAGTCGCGCGGATGACAAACACATAGACACCAGCGCTTGGACCAGCCTCGCAGCGCTTGTCGCAGCGTTCCAGAAAGACCGAGCTTCTGTATCGTCTCTTAACCACGCCGATGCTGCTAGTGAATAGCGCCGTTAACACCATGTGAGACAGTGTCCCCCTGTCTGCGCGGTTTTGGCTTCGAATTAACTGTTCCGAAGTCCGTAACGTTCATCATGAGATTTGCACGGGTACGCTGGTACTTCGCCCATTACTGTAATCCGGACGTTCTTCTTAACTACTTCACAAATTTGTGGTCATACTTTGTCACGCCATCATTAACTGAATATTCATTAAAACTCACTAAATATGAATCAAGTTTTGAAGTCTGATGTTCTTCGAGGTAGGAAATGGTTATCGCCGGGTCGCGAGCAGTTGAGCATCCCTCATCCCTGCCCCGGTCCAACCTGCTAAAGACGCTCTGACAGGTCCGTCAGAACCGCTAACGACTGTCACTCAACATATTAGGCATTATCAACGACTGTATCAACATATTAGGCATTGTAAGGGCATACTTAATCATACTAAACTTTTCTTTGTCACGTTGCAGACGGTGTGCGGAAGCTCATTGCTTGCGTACTTGTTCTCAACTCCTGTGTGACGTATTCAAGTGCAGAAACGCGCTATAGCGTAAATCGACGTCTACTTTACGATATCATCATTCGTTACGCATTGGGACAACCTATGGAGGGCGCACAAACGGCGTCCTATAATGACGATCTGGCGTCAAGTATTTTAGATGCACGTTTCAGACTTCCCGCGCTGCCGACCAAGCAAAAGGTTTGCATGACACGCGGTAGGTGGCATCACAACACCGTTGATTACTTTGAAGTTTCAGAGTATTCAAGTAGGCGATTCGTACCTCTCCGTAACCTTGTGAAGAATTATTTAAATTTGCAATTCGTTGTCTTTTCATTTGCTATTGTCATTACTTAATTTTAACCTTGTCAGCAATTGACTACTCGGCAGGAAATCCCTGTGAAGTCGTGAGACTACAGCCAGGTGCCGCGGACACTCCCCGGCGTCTTCTCTGAATGAAGTTTATCTTTCTGCGCAGCAAAAACTAAACCACCTCCCTCCCCCCACCCACCTACCACTGGTCCAATAGAAATTATTTTTTCCGCGGGCAATAACGGATGCACCGCAGAAATTGATCTGGCCAAAAATGATATTTCTGGAAAGAGCTATTTCGGTGATGAAGTAGACTAAAAGATTTCTAGACAGACGTAACTAGCAATTGAGAAAGGCTTTCATTCACCGCCGGCATTAATTTAGGTCCAGCCACACGGGCCACACATTTCAGATTTTCTTCTGTAGAGAACTGAATTTTAACTGTATGTGCAAGCCAAATATTTCATGTGCAAGCCAGATGTTTACTTGTCGAATCAACCACTAATAATTTGATAGTATTCTATCCTGGTACAATTATCGCAGGTCATCAGGAGGTTTCTCAACGTAGTTCAAGGTGACAGTGGTATCCATCAAAATTTACTCTTCAATATAATTGTCTCGTTACTTCTATTGCACTTAAAAGAAAATTTCACACACAATGATCCTCCTGCTCTAGGCCGTCTTGTGGGCGGCTGCAAATCATCCAATCATCATTATCATCATCATCATCATCATCGTCGTCGTCGTCGTCGTCTTTACTGTGTGCTTGGGCGGTGATTTTACAACGAAGCAGTCTTTATCTACCTAGTGCATTCGTCGTCATCGTAGAAGTATTTGTAGTAGCAGTAGCAGTAGCAAAAGTAGTAATAGCAAAATTAGTAGTGCTAGTAGTAGAAGTAGCAGTAGTAGTAGCAGTAGTACTAGTAGTAGCAGCAGTAGCATTACTACAGTAGTAATAGCAATAGTAGTGGTAGTAGCAGTGCTAGAAGCAGCCGTAGTAATAAACTAGTTGTTGCAGTAGTAATGGTAGTAATAGGAATCACCCAGATCACGTGCCGAGAGTCATCATGAAGACCATCAACATGAAGATAGTGATGGTGGCGACAGTAAATTGTGACGCTCATGCTCGGAATGACGATGATGCTAGCAATGAGACTAGATACCTTAGATCCACCATCACACAGACTAGCGCAAAGGCGTGTCATCGGGTCCATGACCGTGCTCCCCCCCCCCCCCACTACTGCATCGATATACGGGGCAGATTTTGCACCACTACCCCCTTTAGCTAATTAGAGAGGCGTGGGGCAGCTCCGCTTCTTGCCGTGTGCCATGTCTGCGTAGCTTCTCAAGGCGTGCAACTGGTTGATTTTATTTCTTCTCTCACCGACTCGTTATTCACAGCACTAACGCACCTCGAGACAAGGCGGCTGCTCTGAGATTCTTATACACATCCCAAGGATGACGTAGCGAGCCTATTCTGCGTTCGCCTATCTGCTTAAGTCGCTGACATCACGCATAGCAAGCGAGATGGCCGCAGGAAGCCTGTCTGGAAGCGCATCATCCATCTTGGCATGTTCCTTCGCGTGCTATCAGCCATCAGCGCGCGTCTGTTTCGACATCTGGGAATAAAATTAGCGCACGTGGTTCACCGCCGCGGCATTTTCGACAGCGCCTCCTGTTTGCAACTCGGTAGTCACGTAACATGCCAATGTTCCGCCTTTCAAGCTTCTTCGAGAACATCTCCAGTGCTTATTCGAAGACACAGGTGGTGCCATTCGCTCGTTTGGCAGCCGTGCGGACGGCCGATCTAGACGCTTTCTATCTCCGGTTTACCCTGTATAATAAAGCAGCCGTAGATTGAAAGAGAAAGAATTTAAACGACATAATTTAAGGCTTAAAGGTAGCTGCGTCATGGCTCTGCAAGCACGACCGGCGACGACTAGTACCTAGATGGCGGCAGACCAAAGGAAATAGCTTAGCGTACTGGGGCCAATGTCAAGCATTTCATTGGGAGAGAGAAGGAGGCAATACGCGTTATTATAAGACAGGGGTTTGTGCTTAATTTCTTTAGGGGGGGGGGGGGGAAGTGGAGAGGTTGTGCTACCAGAGCACCGGGGTGTGTGGATGAGTGTTCGGCTTTAATACGGGAGCGGGAAACGGTCGGTCCACGATACTTGGGGGGGGGGGGGGGGCATCAGAGCTTCTGCTGAAAGGGTGTATTAGTTCCTGATAGAAGCGACAGAGCAGGGACTAGTTGGTTCTACTGATGGAATCGGTTGTGCAGAGGTGAGCACTGTTAGGATGAACACTGCTCTGCGTGGCAGAGCACTGCGGAGCGCCAGTGCAGCCGGTGCGGCCGCGCATCGAATCAAAGTGGCGCAGGCGCATACACGAGTGTGCTTCTCTTGCTGGGCTACAGACATGCGAGACCGGCGCATTGCTACTACGGAACGGCGCGCTCTAGCGTTGTAGCCGACGACGTTAGCCACTATAACGACGTAAAGCAGCTCCCGTGTGTGCATGTGCGCATGCGTCGCTACGCTTCGTTGCGCGCCCGCGCCAGTAAACTGGCGCTGCGCTGAGCGCGGCCACGAGCTCCCGTGTTCCCCCTAAGAGTGCTCACCGCTGTACATATTGAGTTCCTGGTAGATGCGCAAAATAGTGTCAGTTTATTATCTTCACACTTACCCCCGTATTCACAAACGCTTCTTCACTCAAGAGCTCTCCTCGACTTGAAAAAGGCAATGGGAGCGCCGTCTTTTGGCAGTCCAAGTCACTGCATATCGGCAGTATTCTGCAGCAATTCTCGAGAAGCGCAGCCTCAATTTCAGTCGAGCAGCGGCGCAGTGCTCAACTCAGTCAAGTGAAGGATGGAATTCGAGTCGAGGAGCGTCTCTGAATACGTGGGTTAATCCATCGATCGCAGGCTGTCACGGACTTCACAAACCAAAGCACGGCAGCGCTTGTGGCTTTCTGTGTCACTGACGATACAGGCTACCCCTTCGTGGCCAGAGTAGCCACAGATGTTCACCACTGCGAGAGGTGCTTTTGCGACGTTATGGTTCCACGACGTCGAGATGAACAAAACCTTATTGCGATTGAAATCAAGGAGAGCTCGAGTAGAAAGGCTCCCGTTGACGTGCTGACAAAAACCATTCAAAGTGACATAACCACTGGTCCAGTGAAGTGTTCTAATAGGCAAATAAATCTAAATGTAATTGGTTTAATGTGTGTGGCATACACGCATAGATGAAAACGCGCGCACGATCATATACCAATGTTAATTATACCCCAGGCCAATGTAAATGGTCTTGAAGGTTCGATGAGTGCATAGGTACGTCCCTGCATTAAACCAATGGCATTCCTTTTGGAAAGGATGGCTAAACGCATGGATGGTCAAAGAGTCGTTTGACGGCGCGAACGCCGTTTGGTTCTAACGTGAAAAGCGAAATGGCCCCCTTCACTTTCTCAAGAACAGTAAATCGCATCTCAGCGGCACAGCCATAACACTCCGGAACCTCCATTCTCAAAGCCATGGCCTTGGAAGCGAAACTCGCCGTAGCGCCTCCCCTCTTTAAGAGTCCGCCAACCGTCAATCGGTCGCAGCGCTCCTCCAGCACGGCCTGCAACAGTCTCTTTTGTTGGAGTTCGAGGTGAAAGCATATGTGCGCTCAACGGCCCCAGTTACCCAGACTGCAAAGATGGCCCGGGCCAAAAACGTTGCCAGCGCGCCAGGAATCTTGCCTTCTATGCGCCCGGCAACCCACCGTTTGCACCATCCGTGTAATTACTATCTCAATAAATTTTTCGCCGATCGTTACCGGAAAAGAAAGAAGAGAGACAAGACAGCTCGTCAGGCGAGGGGTGTGTGTGTTTGGGGGTGGGGAGGGGGGCAAGGGGAGTGGACGTGCGCGTTGTGTCGGTCGACAGGGTGAGGTTGGTAACGGCGGCGGCAGGGCGACCGGCCGACAACAGGCAGCTAGAAAGAAGCCGAGACGTCGACCAGTTTTCAGGCGAAGCAACAGCCGCCGAATTGTGCGCCTGGTCCAAGGTCGCCCGTGTAGGGGGGCATGGA